AAACAGAGAGGCAACCATTCAAACTCATTCACATTAATCTAACATGCATGTCTTTGGACTGTGGGTGGAAGCCCAGAGCATGCAAATCCACACAAAAGGTCCCCGGCCAGCTTACAGCCTTAGCTAAATGCCTGAGATTACCATATTATGGATATCCACAGCAACAGTAATGTATGCCACAGATACAAAAATCATAAAAGCTCGCCTTTAACTTTCCACAAAACTGTTCTCATCCGTCTCAGCTGTATTTCCCACCACATTAACAGTGTTAAAGAGTAAAAAAGCTGAAACTGAGCAGCCTGAAGTCTGACATTTTGGCTCATGAATAATGACCTCTGACAATTCCTCTTTAATACTTGATATCCACTGACCAGCATGATCATGAAAATACACTTTAGGTTGCATGATGTTCACAAGCTTCCAATGTATATATTGTAGAGTAAATCATGGAGAGGTTTATTTGTTTTTCTGTAACGTAACTTGCATTTTAATCATGAGTTAATGTAATGTATCCCCAGGGCCTGTTGGCTTCCAAAGCAACAACATTGGCTTCAGAGCCGGCATGTTCACGTCTATCGGTGAGTTTTTATTTTGTAAAGTTTTTCTGTGCAAAATGTCAAAATCCTGAAAAATCGCTTGATTTTGCTCATAGAGCCTGGATATTATAAGGAGAATGACTTTGGGATCCGGATCGAAGATGTCGCAGTGGTCGTACCAGTTCAGACAAAGGTGAAAATGAAGTGGTGCTTTATTGATAATCTAGAATTATATCATTTTTTTAATGTAACGTGAAGGTGACATTATGTGGATTTTCTTTTCTGTCCTTCAGTATGGAAATAACTACCTGACCTTTGACACTGTATCACTGGTTCCATATGACAGAAAGCTGATTGACATGTCACTGCTCAGCTCAGAGCAGGTAAGAAATGACATCTCATTGCATAATCAACTACAAGACATTTGCCTCCAATTTCTGAAAATGAGATACAAATATGTGCTGACGTGAATGCTCGGCTGCACCTCGGTGTGAGTTTACTTCCCCAAAACGAATTTCTAGTTTTAATTTGTAAATACCTTTGGGTATACAAACCCGTCATATCAGAGGCTCTTTTGCCTGCAATACCAGTGCTGGTTTCCTCTTAAAATCCCCCATTATACGCTTTAAGCTGCAGTTTGTCTACGGTTCACTGATCAAAACGCTCTGTAAAGAAAACAAAACCACGTGTGAAATCAACTTCTGTGTTTTGGCTCTTCTTTAGAAGTGGAAAATGTAACAACCTGTTATGCTGCTTTTTTTTTTTCCTTTCAAATCAAGATGACATAAACTTTTGATAAACAGAAACAGATGTTACTTTTTTAGAGTTCATGAACGTTTAAATCCTGTTATTATTTAAATCTGGTGCATTTTTGTGCACTTTAAAGAAAATATCCCATGAGCACCTGGTTAGAAATGTCTTGTTGATGTTAGAGAAGAATTGTAAAATATAACCACTACAACCAAGATATGCACAAGAGCATCTCTGAATGCGCTTTGAACCTTGCAGCAGATGGTTTACAGGTGCAGACCACACAGAGTGCTCGCCAGGAGACGAAACTGAGGTTACAAGTGACACAGATTCACCAACATTGGATAATA